ATAAAAAGTCTGTGTCCGCCCCTGACTGTGCCATCTAGATGAATGGAATTATTCATGCATTAAGATGTAACGCTACTTTATTGGATCATAAATCAGGAGTTCCACTAGTTGATCATCGCCGTGGGTGATGAATAGCTGTATTCATTCAACTTGGATAAAAATGTCCAAATGGTTCGAAATTCGTGCAAAAATGAAAATGATGTATTTGTCAAAGAATTCAAAAAATGAAAATCATTAATTCAAAAGTTACTCTTTAAAGTATCATATAGAAGAAAACTTCCTCTTAAAATCAAAAGTAGATGGACACAAAAGTCCGATTTGAACAAGAAGAAATGATTAAAATCGATCTAATCCGACAAAAATATCAAAGATGTGAAGTCTTCAAAATTTGTATTCCACTACCTAGATATGCTGATCAAATTTCAAAATGTAACAGTTGGTGAAACCAAACTTTCATTATCTAATTTCTATTTTCGAGTGACTCCTTTATCATCTCATCGTGAAATTGAGCACTTTTGTCGTGTATTTTTGTTGATTTTAGTTAGGAGTAGACCCTCGACGATCTAAATTTTATTATTATTTGCTATTTTAAATGTTGTGTTGCGTGCAATTTTTACATATTGTCCGGCAAATATTGCTTAACCTATCAAGTACACAAAAAATAACTAATCGTAATTTAATATTAAAATTGATTTTTGAAGGTTGAATGATTAATTCTAACTCTAACTTGAACAAAACAAGTACAACATGCGAGATGATAAAGAACCAGCCATATTGTGTACTCGATGACATAAATAATGTTAATGCAGTTAATGTTTGAGAATAGAAAGATTAATATAGAAATGTGGGTTTCAGCTAACAAAACTCAGTACATCTTTATTAAATTTAAAGGAATTAATAATTAATTGCTCGAAGTCACACATTCTATTTTCTTTTGGACCGAGAGTGAAAATAATGTTATCTAACATCATGGGTGCTACAACTTCCATCTAGGTGACACTGTGTGATATGATCTAACTAAAAGTAAAATTATGTGATTCATTTAATTGCAACTCGCATCGTTCCAAAACAACACGAAAGTCGTGTTATATAACCTTTAAAAATCATCGATTTTTTTTGAAGTTGTCATATTTTGATGAACCATATACCGTTGAAAGTTGTATCACCCTACTTTTGTATGGACTAAACGATTTTTCGAAATTACATCCGTGCTTTGAATTATGAAAGTTTTTTCGAGTGTTATAACATTAGTAGTACTAAACGATCTTCAGCGTTAAGTGCTTATAGTAGAAAACATGTCCGAACCCGCGCCCTCCCTACCAATATAAGATCATAGCATTCGTGCTTTTTTATTTCAAAAGTTATTGTCTTGTAGAATTTGAAATTTCAATATAAATTCTTACCAACATGTAAGGCATCTATTTTCATGTTGACGAAGACTTTTATTTTATTGCCAATTATACTTTCTCTATATGTTCCATTTTCCTTATCCATCTCTCTTCCAGACATTTAAATCGGAACGGGCCTAATGAAGTTTAAACCCACAACAAATGAAAGGTTGTCCAATTACAATGATGCAGTCAGCCCATCTTACGAGTACATCAGATCTGTACAACGCGAAAAATTAAATTTATGGCAGGTTTCTGTAATTTTTAAGGGAAAATATACTTGGCCTGGCTCAAAGCCCGGCCGGCGCCCTGTACTTGGGCCTGGCTTTGAGCTGGGCCCAATAGCACTGCTCATTTTTTAAAGAGCAATGTCATTTGTACAACCAAATGTTGACACATGGGTTGACATACACTCACAATGGAAGAGTCCACTTTTTTTTTTTT